TCTTTGAAGCGTCTTTTCCTTGGAGCAAGGGCAGAAGCCCTTGTCTCGATAAGTTCTTTAGTCTTTTCTTTTCTGTCGTTGGTAGGTATTTTGATAAAAGTTATTTACTCTATCCCAGAACTTATATGTTCAGGAGAGAGTGTACGTCGATCTTGAATTTACATATTTTAAATACAGCAAACTACTTAAAATAGACAATAACTAAAGTTATATATATAGCTTGTTATACATTCTTCATGTAATTACAAATAGTAGAGATTATCAATATATAATCTTATTTGCAATACTGTAATAACTCAGTTATTGTGAGTAATTATTTTGTCATTAAATTTTACTAGCTAAAGTAATAGCTTTAGATGACCAAATAGAATCATATCCTCATTGTTATGAAAGAAATTTTCTTATTGCTGAATTATTTAGATTTGTTTCTTAAAGTAGTATTAGATCTAGTTTGTAGGATTTTAACAGTATTAAAGTTTTTTAGATCTTAATATTATTATTAAGGTCTTTAATATTTAGTATGAAAGGTCCAGTGATCTTAGTGTAGTAGTTAGGTTATCAGATTGCTATGCAAGAGATCTAGGGTTCAAATCCCACTGTTGACAAAATTGAATAATTACCTAGATATCTGTATCTAATTTACAGTAAACCCTGTCCATTTCTAGGGGTTGTAACCCTGTAAATCACATTACACTAATATCATTCAGATATTAGAAGTGTAACAGAGCATCTGAGGAATATAATATTACATGAATAAATCTTGATAGGACCTATGAACAGGGAACCTGCATGGCAAAAACTCTGAGTTAGGTGAAGTAGTACAGATTTCAATAGTCATACTAGTTAACATTTGATCTGGAGAGGAAAATCTGCATACGAAAAGATTGGTGACTAGAATGCGAGTAAGTCTGTTAGGAAATCTGTGTATGAAAAGATTAGCAGAATAGGTATACATAAGTCTATTATACGAGGTCATATAGCAATACCAACTTGAGAGGATCTGTTCTGTGTGATATCTGAAGGTACAGATGATTTTCAGCAACACTAATCTGAGTGGTAACCAGATTTGGGAGGGCCTATCTCATGTGATATCTGGAGGCACAGATGACTAACTTGGTGGAATGCCACAGTAGAAATCAGGTTTGTATGAACATTGAACAAGGGTATATGTAAGCTAAATTGGGATATAGTGTAGCATAGTTAGATACCACAGCACCCTATCGATTAGGGAGTTGGGTATCTTCTAAAAAAAGAAGTAGCATAGGGTTAGGCGAACTTTAGTAAAATAAGGATAGAATACAGATAAGTGTCATAGAGCCAGAGGGTTTAAATAGGTAATCTTCAAATAGATTGCAGATATAGCATCTAGTGTAGAACCTTCAAGCGAACTACTTAAATTGTGGCTAGTTGTACTCTTACAATATGTATAATTTACTCACTATCAATACCAATAAAAGTTTGGCTGATAGTATTTGTATAAAGTAAAAAAAAATAAAAAAAATAAAAAACAAATATTTAGTATAACAATTTTAATCATATAAAAAGATTAAGGTATTAATAAAGCTTTAGTCACATATATAGTAAGTATTGCTATTAATCTTGTAAGTGAGAAGCCTTTTTTGAAGTAGCTTCAGTTTTTGCTATTTGGTTTTCATTGTTTGAAGCTTGAAGCTTTCTTTTATTTTCTTTTTTCTTCTTAGTTGATGCAGATATAGTTTTTGCTTTATTAATATTAGATATATTTTCTTCAAGTTCAGAGGTTGCAGTAACTATGCTTGAAGGATTTGTTTCCATTTTCATTTTTTTATCTGAATCTTGGTTCAGAGTAGGAGTAGAATTACTGTTTGATATTGATGATCTATTGAAATTATTTTTTGAATTTATAGGTTAAACCTTATCTGTTTGTGAATTAAAAAGTATAGTTTCAGTATTTGTTTTAGCTAAGCTATCAGAATTTTCAATAGCTATATCAGTAATATAGAAGTTACCTAAGCTAAAGCTAGATTGGATAATAATGTTAGTTTGGTTTTCAAGTTTGCTTTCTTTTAACTTTTTTAATTCTTTCTATTTTTGTCTTTGATTTAATGAGAACTAGAGTTCTTTACAGTCTTTTTTAATATGTTCTATTTTTTTACAATAGTAGCAAACTTTAGATGCTTCCTTCTAGTCAGTTGTAATTTTATAATTACTAATATGTGTCTGTCTTAGTATTCTTTGTGCAAGGTCAAGATCTCAGTTATCTCAAAAGTAAGGCAATTATGTCTATATCTTGAAAAATATCTTTAACTAAATTATTAATGAGGCTTTTATCTCTTATAAGCATATTTCTTACTTTACTGAGAGAAAGCTTCATTTAAAATTGATTAGAATATAACCAAAAAGAGTTTGGTTAAAGTCATTGATTCTCTCTGTTATAAATCTCTGTTAAACCTCTTTGTTAGAAAAGACTACTCCAAGGTATATGTGTTTTCTTTTAAATAGATGAGTTTTTGCAGTAAGTAGATTGTTATCTAGTTTTGTAGCAAGAGCTAGAATAATATCTTAGAATAGATTCTGTATCTTGAGATAGTGTTGACAAATATAGTTTTGCTACCTTTTAGTTTAGAGATAAGTCAGATCATTGTCTATCTTTAGTAAAGTTGTTTTTGACTTGATCAAGTTGTTGATTATCTGATTCTTTGTTGGATTTAGTTGTATTTGTTGTGTTTAACAAGTCACATATAGTGTTTATAAGTCTTTGTTTGTTTTCTAGATTTTCTTCTATCTCATATGTTTTATTTTCTTTGTTATTTTCTATAAAAGAAATTTGTTTTTCTCATTATTCTTTGAGAAAGTTAGCTTGAGTATTTTTTTCTTTTTGCTTACTTGTTTTAGAAGAGCTTTGGTTTTCTCTATAAGTTTCCTTAGAAGTACTATTATTTGTTTTCTGATTTTCTTCAGTTGATGAAGACAAGTTAAAGATCTTCTTTTTGGTTTTTGTATCTACTGTCTTAGATCTTTTTGTTGATGAACTACTTATAGTTAGAAACAAAGATTTTCTTTTTCTTGTAGTTAGAGCAAATACTTTTTTTCCTAAATTTTGTAATAGTTTTATAAAGATTTTTGATAAAATTTTAGTAGTTTCTTAATTTTCAGTAGTAAACCAGAAAGAGTTTTGCAGTATCTGTTAGGTTTGTTTCTTATAAGAAAATAATATTTAATTTATATGATTTTAAAAGAGTAAATATTCTTTATACTTTAGACTTATTATTTAAGCATTTAATATTTAGAGTTGCTATTTTGATTTTGCTCATTTTAGAAAGTGTTTAAAGAGATTTGGTGCTTTTGAGTATTTTAGTACTCCTGATAGCATCTGTTTTTTGTTTTATTATCAGAAGAGAGGTTTCTTCTTTTTTTTAGTAATCTAGTTAATTTCAGATGACTTTGATCTTTCTTTTTTGTCTTATTTCTAGATTTCTTTAAAATAGCAATATTAAAGAGTTCTTCTTTTAAGTCACTATTTGCATTAACTTCTATAAGGTCTAAGTCTTGCTTAGTGTTTGAGTTCTTATTCACTGCTTTTGAAAGAGTTAAGGAAAAGGACTCAATAATTATTTGCTCTTAAGTTTCAGAGTTATTTTTCTAGTTAGATTACTAAGTCATTAGACTTAATATTTTCTGCAGAATTAGAGATATAAGAGTTATTTTCACTGAATTCAGAAATTGAGTTTAAGCTAGGTTTGTTTTTTTTATATTCTTTTTCTTTTTGAGTATATTATATTTCAATTGAGAGGTTAAGATTCTTGTAGTCTTTTTTGATATATTCTTCTTTTTTACAGTAGTAGCATACTTTTGAAGCTTTTTTTTTTTTTTCTTTTTTTTTTTTTTTTTTTTGTTAAAGATGGCTTATATTGCTGAAGTAATTTTATTAGTGTTGCAAATAGGATTATATATTAATAATTTCTACTATTTGTAATTACATGAATAGTGTACAACAAGCTATATGTACAACTTTAGTCATTGTCTATTTTAAGTAGTTCACTGCATAAGCATTAGACTTCCTGATTAGTTCTACACGAGTTACCTATTTAAACACTCTGTTCATTAACCTATATAGATCCAACCTAATATCACTACAACACCTAACTGCTTATTCATTTATCCAAAATAGCTTAGATTCTCTTAGGATATATTATACTAAATACATTGCTAGTATTGCAGAGCTAGTTAACCTTGAAGCAAACCTACTAGAATAGTCTATATCTATTTTATAAATTTACCTAGCTTAGACTCTTGTAAATATTTATACAACCTCAGGTTCTACTATAGTCCTCTACTGATCAGTTAACCTAGTTTTTTTTTCAGTATCTAGCTGGTTCTAGTTACTCTTTGCCTAGAGATCTTAAAACCTTCTACTTTTATTAGACTGAGTTTTCTTCTCAGATCAGACTTTAGCTGATATAGTTCTGTCAGAAGACTGTACTACTTCACTAACTCAGAATTTCTACTATATAGGTTCTTTGCTCATATATTCTAAGATTTATTTGTATAATATTACATTATACTTCTAAGTTCTTATCAATTTAGTACAACTTAATTTACAGAGATATATTTTCAGAAATGAACAAAGTTTACTATAATGTATTACAAAGTCTGAAAAATTATTCAAATTTGTTAACAGTAGGATTTGAAAGATCTATTGCATAGCAGTCTGATAATCTAATTACTATACTAGGTCACTAAACCTTAAAGCTTATTTTTAGTCTATAGGCTAATTATATTATTGACTTTTATCCAAAATGCTACAAAAATAGCTAAAATTAATACTTGTACATTATTTTGACCACTATTAAATTGTATCTTGATTGATGTTTGAGAACACCCTATGATGAAAATTATGAAGTATTTTAAATGAATAAATATAAAATACTATATATTTAAGTAACCAGTATTTTCTGATTATCTATAAGTTCAAGAGTTAAAAAAAATAAGCAGATAATGATCTTTGAAATTTATTAAACAATAAAATATTATATATTACCTGTTTTAAGAATCTTGAATTCTTTTTAGAGTTTCATTCTATACACATAATTTTTAAATATATTATAGTCATCCTTCATTCATATTAACCTATTTAGATTGCTCTTATATTCATGTTGATAATGATATTAATGAGTGAGTATATTAAAGTTAATATATATGAGGGAATACAATATAATTTTAATATATAAAAGTTTATTGTATAGCCTAGGTTGATATTAACAAGAGATGAAAATACTAATAACAACAGTATTTCTGTTTGAATTGATTTTTAGAACTTATTGTTACTTGAACTCTTTATATAATGCTAATACGTTATTGAAAGCTTTGTAGATAGTAATATTATTAATAATTGTAATAAACTAACAATATTATTAAATAAACCAGTTCAAAGTTCTAAAAGTTTCTGATATATAGTATATAATAGGTATTCTCAAGTATCACGATTTTGTATTAGTTGAAATAGTGTACAAGTATTAATTTTAGCTATTGTTATAGCATTTTGGATAAATGTCAATAATATGAATGATATGTAATATTATTGAGATATGCTCAAGCATTACTATTACTGTGATTTTCTAATAATTGTATTGATACTTAATTGCAACAATAAACCAAAATAGAGATCTTGAGAAGAGTTAAAATAGGCAAAATTTTCCAAAAAATATGTATTGATAATAAAATCTATAATAAAAATATGAAAACATTTGGAAAATATAAAGTTTTAATTAGTACATACATACAAAAGCTTTGACCAAAATAGTAAATTCATTGTTCATTTTTTGGTATGTATTTAAAATTTTTTTTTCTTGTAATAAACTACTTTATTTATCTCAATAATAAATACAAATATGGATTGTTTAAAAGTAAAAAATATAATATAATGGTGCACCTAATGGCACGCCATGCACCAAAAAGTTTTATTAGTGCATCAGTGATATGCTATTAGATTATAACTGCACTAGCAACCCTAATTGTGACACAAAGATTTTTATGAAAATCATTGCTAAAAGGTTAAATCTAATTTGTGATTCTATAATTTCAAGCTATTAGCAAAGTTTTATTAGAAACAGATCTATAACTGACATAGCTATTGATATTATAACAATAATAAGAAATCAAAATGATAGTTTCTAACAATATTGGATGCTCTTTGTGGACCAACAGAAGGTATTTGATAGAGTAAACCACAAGTTTTTAGAGATAGTACTAAGTAAGATGAACTTTAATCCTATGCTAGTTAATCTAGTCAAAAACTTCTTCTCAAATCAAATAGCTCATATAATTAAAGGGAATAATATGTCTAAACCATTTAGAGTAGAAAGAGGAATGTGACAGGGAGATCCTCTTTTACCTTTCCTTTATGTTCTAGCAATTGAACCTATACTATTGCAACTAGAAAGAAATTTTAGAGAATCTCTGTGGGTAACCAATTTTTCAAAACTTTAGTATATGCAGATGATTTAACAATTAGTATTAAATCATTATTAGATTAGACTTATATAGAGCAGATTTTCAAGATATATGAGCTTGTTTCAAATGCAAGAATTAATAGACACAAGACTAAGCTAGTTCCTCTCATGAAAAATGCAAAAAAGTTGAATTAACAGTAGAAAGATATTATAAAAAAGTAGCAGAACAGGAAACAATAACTATTTTAGGTTATACAATTCAGCAAAATGAATAGCCTAAAAAAAACCTCTGGCCAACAACAATTAAGAAGCTAAAGAACTTGATAGAGGGATTAACCCAAAGAAACTTATCATTCAAAGAGAAAATCCTAGTAGCAAAATCACTAATTATTTCAAAAATCTGATATATAGCATATCTACTACCACCAAATAGAAAGCAAATAGCAGAAATTAACAGGTAATTACACTATAGATAAAAGGAACTTCAAAAAATGCTACCTAAATACTCAACCTTCTAATTATTATCAGACCAACAAGGATTAGAGGCTCTAATTATGAAGGATATATTAAATACAAGATTACTAACAATATAGCAAAAACTTTTAACAGGAAACTCTCTATAGGCCAAGTTTGAGAGAGAAAGAATTACCAAAATTTTGAAAGAAAAAAGAAATACAACAGTACTGCAAGCATTAAAAGAAGCCTTAGTAAAATCAGCAACTTGGCCTATAGAATGGAAATCATATATTCTTGCTTAAAAAAGAGTTAAAAGAAATTTTAAAATAAAAGTGAAAAAATATAACTCTTTCTGGTTCACTACTAGAAACTAACAAACTACAAAATTTTATCAAAAAACTCTACAAAACTTTCACAAAATTTAGGAAAAAGGGCAGCTACCCTAACTACAAGAAAAAGAAAATCTCTGCTCCTAACTATGAGTGGTTCGTCAACAAAAAGATCTAAAACAGTAGATACAAGAACTAAAAAAAAGATCTTTGACTTGTCTTCACCAACTGAAGAAAACTAGGAAGCAGATAACAATACTTTCGAAAGAACTTATAGAAATAACCAAAGCTCCTCTAAAACAAATGAGCAAAAGGTAGAAAACATGCAAGCTAACTTAGAAGACCCTCCTCTGAAGAATAAAGGAAAAAACAAAGAAATTTTTATTACAGAAAACAACAAAGAAAATAATACATGTGAGATGAAAAAAAACCTAGAAAACAAACAAAAACATGTAAACACTACATGTGACTTGTCAAACACAACAAGTGTAAATAAACTCAACAAAAAATCAGATGATCAACAACTTGATCAAGCTAAAAGCAATTCTTCCAAAATTAGACAATAGTCTGACTTATTCTCTAAACTGAAAGGTAGCAAAGCCACATTTGTCAATGTGACCCCAAGATATAGAATCTATTCTAAGAATGAGAATGCTCTAATCTTTGATATTCAAGACCTCTTGAATATCTCAACTAATAATATTATTCTAGCTCTTGCTACAAAATTAGGTAACAATCTACTTGCTACGAAAACCCATCTATCTAGAGAGAAATGTATATACCTTGAAGTAGTCTTTGCTAACAAAGAGATTCAACTGAGATTTATAACAGAGAGGATCAATGTCTTTAACCAAACTCTCTTTGGTTATATCCCAATTAACTTCAAATGAAGCTTTCTCTCAGTAAAGCTAAGAAACATGCCTATGGGTGA